TTACTGGCGCCCGCTCGAGGAACTCGATGATCAATGGGAGCACAGGTGATACAGGTGATGTAGCGATTTATCGTGCCAACTGCCTTTAACGTTTATTGAACGCCGAAACGTTGGCCTAATAAACGTTAACAATCTTGGTCGGCTCAAGTACAATACTGATCTCACGCATTGCTTAACGCGGGATCTGCCTTCAAGGAAGAAGGCTTAGTTGGCCTGGGCGGGAGCCGATCTCGGATTTGATCTCCGGACCGCGCACGTGGTAAGTGCGCCACTGCCACTGCACCAGCTCCGCCTCAACGCTGGGCAAATAAGAAAAGCGGGATGTGGGAAATGGATTTCAGCCCTAGATCCGTTGCATTGCGTTTCTCGCCCCTGTCCTGGCTTGCTGCACCAGCAATGTTGCTAGGTCTTCTTTACAGCGCAGGACTGTCGGTCGCAAAAAGGCAGAATAGGGATGAAAACGGCATAATATCTATAAGGAGAAAAAAATTCAACGAACCTAGTAAGAGACGAATCACGGGCGCAAATTGCTTGAGAAAGGGATTCAACTTGTTCGCGTAACTTTTCGGCTTCAGCTCCAACAACCAGCAACTCTTCTTCCATCATCTGCGTTTTGCTCCGCAATATATTGATGTCGGCATCTTTAGTGATAAGCTTGTCTCTAAGAGCATCTGCTTCATCGGCACGCTTTTCAGACTTTTTCTAAAGCAGCCTCAACACAAATGCAACGTTCTTCAATGGACGTCAGCGTTTCCAGTCGTTGTTCTAATTCCTTGTTAGCAATATCCAGTGCTGAGACCTTCGCGAGAAGTTCATCTCGCTGACCGCAGGCGTCTACCAGGTCATCTCTGACTGACTGCATTTCAATTTGTAACATTCTATTTTCTTCGACAGCCAACTCCTTTCCTTTCAGCAGCTCGTCGTTTTGAGCCTTAACTTCGGCCAATCTCAACGACAAAGCTTGCGACTCATCAAACAGCATGGTCATCTTTTCCTGTACTTGTTCTTGGATAGTACTTCTAGCAGCGCGTTCTTCCTCAGCCTTCCACAACTCTCTCACCAAGCTTTCCTCAGATTTCTTAGCATTTTCCAGTTCACCTTTGAGCTTTTTCTTCTCCGTGGCGAACTCCTCAGTCAGGGCCTCGCAGCGCTCAAGAGCGTCTGACAAATCGTGTTCGAGCTCGTTCAACTGCTCTTTTGCTTTGCTCAGTTCATCCAAGCACGCGATCTCGCTCTTCGGTCACTGACTTCAATTTGCCCTCAGATTGTTCAATGGAGCTTTGGACAGCTGACAGCTGTTTTTCAACCTCTTCAACGGGAATCGCACGAGAGTTCACCTCCAGCTGGGTGGTGAGTTTACCAACAAGAGCGTTTGTCTCCGCCAGTTCCTCCTGTAAAACCAACGTTGATTGAAAAGGGTTTAGCTCACAATGGAGGACAACGGAAGGCACACACCTTGACTTTGGCTATTTCTTCTGCTGACTCTGCACGAGTTTCCATTAAACCATTTTCTGCGTCGCGAACAGCTTCCTCCAGTTCAGAAATTCGCTGTACCTTAGTGGATAGCTCCTCACCAAGCTTGGAATTCCTGCTTTCTAAATATAGCGTTACACACCAGGCATATCTCAATTAGAATATATTTGCACCACAAGAAAATGACAGCATCAAGAGAGTAAATCAAGACCCCATCCTGACTTCTAGATGAGTATGGGGATACAGCAAGGCGGAGGTATTTCATTACTTGGGAAGGAACCGCTTTGTGAAGACTGTTGATATTTATTTTCTCTATTTCAGCCGGTATCAGTTTCGTCAGTGTTTTATCCTCCCAGACGAATCTGGTACCAATTTACCGTCCCCGGAGGGTAGAAGGCTTGGTTGGCCTGGGCGGGAGTCGACCCGGGATTCGAACCCGGGACCGCGCGAGTGGTGAGCGCGGCCACTTTTTTTATTTACTGCACTCTAGGTGCGCTCAAAACTGACAGGGCAGTGAAAGATTGTTAGTAGCAACTCAAACCGTAGCTAAAAAAAGAAAAAAGCAAAATAAAACAAACAAAAAAAGA